ATGAAATCAAGAAAGTCCTCATCGATCCGATACCTGGGAAAAAAGCTACTCGGGGTCAAAGGTCACAAAAACGGGGTTTTCGCGATTTTCAGCAAAACGGTAAGTTTGTCATAAAATTAGTTTAGACAGAAATTGTAGATCAGATAATTATCTATAACAAATGTCTAAATACTTTTTGTCCTAAGAGCCACCGTTTCCGATATATAACGATTCAAAAAGTTGGAAGAGTTGTGAAGGGCATAATATGCACACTAGGGTTATGACTCATTTTTTACAAAAATTTTACCTATCACCACGTGATAGGCAATACTAAATTAATAATAAAAATGGAGATTGCGGGTCATTTTGGCAAAAACATCTTCCGCACCAAATGCAATTTCTAAAAACCCAGATTCAAATTTTTTTCTTTTTTATTAAATTAATAATATGTGCATAGTTAAATTAAAATAACAATTATTTAAAGCATGTCAATTTATATGTGGTGTGTGATACGGGGTAAAATTCCCGTTCCATTGTTTCCGCAGAAAATGCCATAAAAGTAGTTCAGTACATTTCTGCAAAAATAAACTTATTGATTTATTTGATTATTGTATGATATAAGTTTAAGATTTAAAGTGCGAGTAGTTTTGCAGAGAGGATAAATGTCCTGGACTACTTTTATGGCACGTTCTGCGCAAATGTTACTGCGCTGCTGATTTGGCCTTTTCGACTCCTCTATAACCCAATGCCTTAAGCAGCGATCACACGATTTGTACATTTGTACAGATTTGGCTATTTTCACCGTCACAGAGTGGTGTTGTTTGGAAAGCTTTTAATGAGCTGCTCTCATTCTCGATACAAATTTCTAGACAACACCACCCTGTGACTGCCAAATGTACAAATGTACAAATCATGTGATATCTGCTTTAGAAAACACTCTTTAGCTTTTTTAAATTGTGACAAAGATAAATTTAATAATTTAAAATTGTCTTCGCGGAAACAATGGTCCGAAAACCATTCGTCGTACCATGCACCACATATAAATTGACATACTTTATGTAGTCCTGCACGGTATTTTGGAATTAGTATAAATGCTAATATTGCCAGAATTGCTCTAGAATTTCACCGAGCGTTGCTTATTGGAGGTGTAGTTTTGAAATTAATGAAGGGAAATTTTTCATGTGTTTCGTAGTTTCTGAAAACTTTTCCAAGCTCATACAGGAACTGCATATCATCTCTCCATTTAATATTTACAGCTTTAATACTTTCTTCATTTTGTTTATAGTTGTTTTTTAATTGTTCATAATTAATTATTGGTTCTGAGACAAAACTATAACATATATTTGGCGATGATGATTTTCGATCTAACAACTCGTCCATAACATGTCTTAAAAGCAAGTCTAAAACATGATGCTGGCAACCAATATACTGTGGAGGAGGAAGTGACATTGCCTTGTAATGGTTCTTTAGCAAAGCAATAACTCCGTTTGTTTTTCCTATGTTAACGTTAGTTGTGTCCGGCCGTACGGGCCGGTGCCAATTCATCGGGCACAAATAACGCCAGCACTGAGGCCCGATGGTTTTGCGGACCGACGCGTAGGTTGCGGCTTAATAAGTAGAAATAAGTGTGCATTAGAGAGGGAACACCCCGACCACAGCTTAAGTATCCTGTGTGTTGTTGCCTTTATTTGGCGAGTAGAGTTGTTGGTAGTTTATTCCTTATTGTGGTCCCTATCCCGTCCTTTCAGCATCCCGCACGCAGAGCCCAGTCACTTGGCGGGTTAAAGTATCCCGGCAGCTCGGAAGATAGTTCCGAGGGGGTTCGTAACCTTTTGGTTGGACCTCATATCGGGTGCACCTCAAAACAAGGTTTTCTTTTTGGTGTCACTGTTGTGTTAATATTGCTATTGTACTTTGGCTAAAATTTATTTGGTACTTTGTTTTGTAATTTTTGGGCTCACCCTAGTATTGATATTTGTCTAGTAGTTACTTATTAATTGTTTTTGTCCCACAAAACTACGCTTGGTTGTAGTTGGGTTGGCATATGAAAAAGTGGAAAAAGTAACAGATTACGTGGCGAACTTCGATCAGTGGGTAAGACCACTGGTTTGGACATCTGAGGTGGCTGGTTCATATTCCAATGAACGCGGTTGAAGAAGTCTGATTAGATGTGGTTACCTCCGAAATAGCAGGATATGTATATAGGAATAGGATCTTTTTAAAGTAACAGATATTCAGAAAAATTAACGCGCGACTCAATAAAAAAATAACTACATAAATAAACAGTACATTCCAAGGTTGTCCGAAAACTTTAAACAACAAAACAGTCTTTACAAACACAAAAACCAAGCAGCGAAACAATGTGTATTAATCAAATCGGACTACCAATACGGGTTTTCCAAATATCTCTTCAACCATGCGCCAATTATAAGCAATGTTTATGTGGAGTTATTCCTTTTCATGTAAGTAATACATATTTGGGTGGTTCACAAGGTGGCTTAAGTGTCGGATGACGTAAAGTTTTTAACGGCTAAATAAATATTTAAGAGGATTTGAAACGGTGTAAAATTTCATAATACGATTTTTTTGGTAGCTTTCGAATCCCTTGAATATAGTCTTAGCCGTTGAATGTTTACGACATACAGTACAGGTTACGACGACAGTATGCAACACCTTGTGAACTTCCTAACTGTGTATAAATATAAATACAAACTAAATTCAAAGAATTGGAGGATCCAAGCTATTTTGAACTCTACCTTTAGATTTCCGACCAATGGGCATCGGCCCGCAAAAACCCTTGCTTACGGCGAAAATGGGATATACATATGTAAGAAGCTTAAATGGTGCAAAGCTAAGCAAAATTCGACTTCGCTGGATTGGGAAGAAGTAGTANTTTTGTTATTTGACAAATTGTAAGTCGTTTGTTTATGTTTTGTATGTATGAATGTATACATGTAGTTTTTGGTTTTGTAGATACGTATTCCTGAGGATGCTTTTCGATGAAAGGCGAAATATCGAATAAAATAATTTAATAAAATAACTTAAAAACTGGAAAATCCTTGGCCTTGAGCTTGATTTTAAAAAGTGGAAGAATATTGAAACAGAGGCCGAAGTAAGTTAATATACAGAAAAATACAATATTTACAAAGCAGCAGCCGGTATTGCAAAAAACTCTTTATACATAAACTTAATTGAGAGCGGCGCTAGTAATGTCGCCGAGCTTATGCAATGCAAAAAAATAAATATTTTTTAGATTGGCTATTTACGTGCCAATGTCATAAAAAATTTAGGCAAATTTAGGGAACAAAATCTTCAGATTCTGCTTCAGTCTGACCAGTCTTAAGGGCCGTTTACATAAGACTTGTGCTTCGCTTTGTTTCATAATTCCACTTTGACAGATAAGTTCAATACATAATTTTCTTGCTAAATAGAATGCGAGGAAAGCAAAGCGAAGCAAAATCAACTCTCAACTTATACGCGCTTTGGCAATCAGCTGTCTACATGTATCTTTTCCCGTGCACTTGCATTTGCATTTAATGGCAAAAATAAGGTAAATAGGGATTATTATTTCTATTATTAATGCATATTATTATATTGTTATCTATTTTACAGATATAAAATATGGGGAAAAAGGAGAACGCAAAAGCTGTCAAAGGGTTTATTGTAGCATACCTTCTACGTTTCACGCTTTGTTGTCAAAGTTCGAACTGTCAAGCGAAGCGAGGAAACTCTTATGTAAACGGCCCTTTAGTATAAACTGAAGTAAGTCATATAATACGTGTAATTTTATTAATTTTAGTATTCTATAAGCTACTTAGAAATATATGTATTCACATAAGAAATTGTGCTGATTAATATCGTTTCTTAGCTTTTCTATATTTAATTACCTTTGATAAAGAAATAAGTTCATGCTTCAAAATTATAATCTATGTCTATGTAGTTTTTATCAAATATTACACATTGAAATAAACTTAATCATTTATAGCAAGTAACAGCCGCACTCAGACACATTCATAAATTAGCTACAATGGGCACTTAACCAACTCGTTAAATCTGGTAATTAATGTTTCCTCTCAGAGTTAAAGCACAAGCGCTCATTAGTTAATGAAAAATTTAAGTATGGCCCCAATTGCGAACCTTTTTTTTTGTGGCATCACTCACTTTTTCCTTTCATTTTGAAATCAAATACAAAAATAAGCCTTTATATCACTTTGCACGCGCTGCCTCAACAGTCGCAATTGCTGAGTGAACAGAGCACTGGCGTGCCATTCGAGAGATCCGGGTTCGAGTCATCGGGCAAGAACATTTTCGTTTTCCTTTTTTAATTTTTATAAACTTGTTTTATTTAATTTTTTGCTTTTGTAATTTAGTTTTCTTTTAATTATTAGATTTGATTGTTGTAGAAAAGAAACTATTTTTTATTTAATTAAATTTTTAGAAACTGCTTGCTAAAAGACAAACAATACCGCTAACAAGCCCATTCTGGCATCTGTCTTCCAACTCACCACAGTCTTTCGTATGACAATTGTCTATTCCGGCAACTGTCTTAAAAGCTCTTTTCTCTATATCAAAAGATTAGTTGAAAGATTTGCTACAGAGGTGTTAGCGTTATGTATATCTCTTAGCAATAAAACGAAACGAAATAAAAAAAATTTTAATTAAAACTAAAATTTTTAGAAAATTTAATTAAGAAAAGAAACAAAATAATTACAAAAGTTTCTGAACATTAAATGACATTAAACAATTTGGAAATATGCATTAAAAAATATTTATTTTTTTAAAAGGGACATAACAGTTATAAGTTTTATCGGAAAGACGTTGTTCCATAACAGTTATTAGATTAGAAATATTTTTTATTTCGTTTACTTTCTACGTTTCTAGATAACTGTTTTGCTAATAAGAGTTATTTCCCAACATTTATTTTTTACGTTGCTTAATAACAGTTGTTACCCAACGTTTATTTTTACGTTGTCTGATAACGGTTATTTCACTCCTCCTCTTTTATTTTCATCATCTTTATCTTCTTCTCCATCTCCGTTTTCGTCAATATTCTTATCTCACAACGTTTATCAGACAACGTAAAAAATAAACGTTGGATAATAACTGTTATCAAGTAACGTAAAAAATAAACATTGTGCAATAACTGTTATCAAACAACGTAAAAAATAAACCTTGGAATATAACTCTTATCGGCGAAATAAAAAATATTTTTCATCTAATAATTGTTATGAAAAACGTTTTCGCTAAATTTCAGAATTAGGGCAACGTTTTCAATTTGTAAATTCGAGCCAACAGTTATTTTTGGTCCGTGTGTTTTTAACAATAAAAGTTAAAAATTTAATAAAAAAGGAAAACAATTCTGCTGCCGAGGATTTGAAATCGGATCTCCCCAACGGGATGCCAGTCTCTCTCTGCCCACTGGGTCATTGCCACAGTGGCAGCAACGTTAGCAAAGTTGCAATTTATAGAAAACAACCAACAAATTTCATAATCATTCGTCAAAAAGTAAAGNTGCCGAGGATTTGAAATCGGATCTCCCCAACGGGATGCCAGTCTCTCTCTGCCCACTGGGTCATTGCCACTGTTGCAGCAACGTTAGCAAAGTTGCAATTTATAGAAAACAACCAACAAATTTCATAATCATTCGTCAAAGGTTTTTCTTTACTTAACTTTAATGTTCACTAAATGCTGTTAATGAATCATCAACCGACTCTGAGAGGAACACCTTAAGTAATCATTAAACAACTCTGAGTGCGGCTGTAAGTGATATACTTTGCTTAAGCGTTAATTAACTCTTTTAATTTTCTTTTAAACTGCATTCACTTTTTTTCTTCTTTCCTATCCTGCAAAATTTCTCTGCATTTTTGTAAAAATACTGGTGACTTCTTCAAAATTTTGTTTTCAATAAAAGGTCCATCACTGCTCTCCAGATCATTGAAAGGCAAATTTCGTTTGCCTCTGCTGATAACATGATTAAGATCTTCAAGGTTCTAAAAAGATAAAAAGATAAAATGAATTACGTGCATACAATTTACAATGATGTATTATAATAACGTACTTTCCCAGGACTTTTTGAAAATTCGTATGTTAAAACGGGAGAGTGTGACTGTTCAGACTTTTCCATTCTCGACACAATTATGAGATTATTAGACAGCTTTCTTGGATATGATTGTTTCTCAGTAGGATGAGGTGACAAGGGCACATTCTGCTGCTGAAATTTAAAATTCTTTTTTATAATATATATGAATTACGTAGGCTCATCTCACAGTGGCAGGTCTCAAATTTCAGCACACACCTTAAGGTTTAAACCATTAGTTTGAATAGTAGTAGTAGTGGTAGTAATTTTATTTATCTTTAAAATTTAAATTTAAATAAATAAAAGATCATAGACAATAACAATAAATGTTGTGTGTCTGCATTGCACTACTAAACAATATTATATATATATATATTTAAGAAAACTCATTTACAATCAGCTCTCTATATTTAAGGCAATTACTTTTATAAATATGCAGTGAACGATAATTACCATCATTAAGAATATTTAAAACTCTTGGCAGGTCCAAGACTTCCTCACCAAAACAATCGAAACGAATATTTTTGTATATAGGACATTCCCCAATGAAATGGTAGGTGTCTTCAACAGCCCTCAAGTTGCAAATAGAGCAGGTCTTAGTAGAAATATTTTTAAAAGATTTTGCATTAAGATTAAGTAAGCCACCTCTTGCGCGAAAAATAAGGACTTGTAGCATACGCAGTATAGTCATCATTAAAGTAGGTAGGGCCTGTAGGTATTAGGTCCGGGTAAAGGTCATGCGTTTGGGACTGGTGTGCTCTTTCAGTCAAGCTCGCAAACTCTATTTGGATCAGTTTTTCTAATATTAAAAGAATGTTCTTTTTAAGCAGAGCAGGGGAGAAATCCGGTTCCATATTAACACTTTCATAAATATTGTACCACTTTTTAGTCCAGAACCTTGTCGCACTGTCTCCTCGGCCACGATGCGGGGCAATCTGTTAGACGGCAGACTAAAACAGCGCCCAATAAAAAAACATATGGGCACGTAAGGTGTGGAAAAATTGAGGGCATAACCCGGTTTCCCGGTGCAGCATATAGTTTGGGTTATAAGAGGGAAGAAATATTAATTTTTTTATAAAGAAACGCAGGAGTTTCTCTACGGGTTCAAACTTATCAATACCCCAGATTTGTGCGCCATAAAGCATAATGGACCTAGCAGCAGCATCGAAAATTTTCATCTTCTTTGAGATAGAGATACGAGGGTTGTTTATATATTTGATCCATGTGGCGTTTACCGCAGTTTTGGCCTCAACTAGTTTTGCGTCTAAGTGCTTCACAAAAGTAAGTTTGTAGTTTAAAAGTAAACCCAAATACTTATACTCATTGACAATATCAATAACCTCATTTCCAAAATTCCAACGATATCCGGAAGGAGTTCTACTGCATTCCCTAAAAACTAAAATTTTAGATTTGGCGAGGTTAACCTTCAGCCCCCACTGCGTACTGTAAACGTGAAGCTCGTCTATCATTTTTTGTAAATCTAACGCAGAATCTGCTAAAAGCACAATATCGTCGGCGTACATCAGAGCTTTTACTATTGTGTCACCAACTTTCACTCCGCACGGGTGGCAGTCACTTAAATCATTAAGATATAATGAGAAAAGGGTTGGACTCAAAAAACAACCTTGACGTACACCATGATTAACAAAAATCGGGTCGGAAAACTCCCCATCTAACCACACCCGACCAGTTGTATCATCATATATTAATCGTATAACCTCTACAATATGGCTGGAGAGACCGAGACAGGCTAGCTTGTAGAAAAGCATACCGCGAGGAATTGTGTCAAAAGCACATGAAAAGTCGACGAAGAAAGCATAAGTTTTCTTTTTGGCATTAAAATTCAAGTGTATACTGTGTACTAGTTAGAGTAAAAAGATTGTCCATTGTTGAATAATTTTTGCGGAAGCCAGCTTGAAATTCGGTTATTATATTGTTACAGTCAAGCCACGCATTTAGACGGCTCAGCAAAAGACCAGTAAAAATTTGATATATTGTGTCGAGCAAAGAGAGACCCCTGTAGTTGAACGGAACGTCTGGATCACCTTTTTTAAAAAGAGAAATAATAATAGCGTTACGAAAACTTTGAGGAATTTGCTTTTTAAGAAAGAAGCTCAGTTAGAAAACACTCTGGGGTGTACTTATAGAATTCATAGCTAACACCATCTTGACCAGGAGCCTTATTTTCTTTAAGCCCTTTAAGAACAAGCTTCAGCTCGCGGAGTTCAAAAGGGGAATCTAGAAACGGGTCCACAACTGAGGGCAAAGTCCAGTGCATACAAGGTGTGTCAGCTGTGCAAGATAGCAAAGTTTCAAAATGGCTGTAAAGATCCTGCAAGGAAAGGCTACACTTCACTCTCTGGGAACGACATTTCAAAGAGTTGGCAATTCGCCACCAGTCACTGGAGTTCCTAACAGTGTTTAAGAGGTCAATTTCCTTACACTTATGTTCCAATTTTTTCTTAGAGCAAAGCTTGAAATAGCTTGCGCGAGAGGATACATACAATACACCAGCTGCCTCAGAACTAGTACATCTAAACACATCTAAATGTTTCAACATGTTTTTGCGTGCCATCAAGCATTGGCTGTCGAACCAATTGTTTTTTGGCGTAAAATACGGTTTGCCCAGGCTTGCCGGAGCAGCAGATTTTACTTTATTTGTTAAAGTGGATACCAAAACATCAATTTTGTCCTCTGCATAGCATAGAGCTAATAAGTCCATTATATCTATGAGCTAACTTAGACTTCCACAGTATCTTTGCAGGACAAACCCCTAAAGAATCCGTGTCTTCCTTCTTCGGCACCAAGAACTGCATTAAAAGCGGCATATGGCCAGAGAATTCTTTTTTACCAATAGAAAAGCTATTAATAAGCGGAAGGAGGTCAAAGGAACATATAACGTAGTCAATAACCGAGCATCCTACAGCTCCGCGAAACGTGAACTCACCACACCTATCGCCAGATATCCTTGCGTTCAAGATAACTCCCCCCACATCCTCCACTAAGCTCAGAATTTTTCTACCATTAGTATCTAATACTGAGTCTTTTGAATCCCTACTTTCCGAAAATTCAGGTAGCCTAGACAGTAGGTGTTTTTCAATTGGTTGTAGTTTACCCACGCGTGCGTTTAGATCACCAAGAACACAAAAAGAGTCTGGGTGCTCAGTAGCGAAAAAGTTTTCTAAATGTTGAAAATTTTCATACCAATTGTTGCAATTCAAGTACTGTGGAATTAACCATGTACAGCATCTATCCAAAGTAAAACGTAATCTGTAAAATGGTGAGAAAATTTTGTTCTGTCTTCGGCAAGTACGTGGGTCTCAAACAAAAAGAAAATATCGAATGATGTAATAAACGTAAAAAAGTTACCGAATTTTAGCTTACTGTTTAAATTAGCTATATTATATGATAAAATATTAAACTGTGATACTGATTTAATTTTATAAGCATTATTATCCATTGCTAGGTGTGTAACAGCATAACTGTCCATCAATAGTTTTTTGATTCAATCTTGTTCAAAATACCTTCATACGTAACATCAATTTTTCAAAG